GCCTCATTTTGCATGTCGTTTATGCCCCAAAGCCCCGGTATCATTCCCGAGCCCTGAAGAAAGATCCGAAGCCCCGAGGATCCTGAAGAGCGTTATTCCCGAGCCGAAACGCTGCCCGCGAGGAGCCCGGTTTTGTGAAGATCTTCCAGATCTACGGAGAAACACCTCTTCTGCAAGACGTAGTGCTGCCCGATCATCTTCTGATCAAGTGAGTGTGTAGTTATTTTCATTCCAACGCAATATTATGAAGTATTTCCTATAAAATACATGTTATGTGTATATATTTGGTTGTTATACGTGTGAGTGTATATTCACTCTCTTCTATCTTATAGATATGATGTATTCTCTATGAAATACGTGTTATGTGTGTATGCTTCATCTGTTATGTGGAATATGTATTGCTTAAAGCATGTTATACAGGTTTTTAAACTATGTGTAAAAATGTATATTTTTATCTACTAATATGTTGGGTAGAACATGGGTAGATAATTGGTGTGTAATAAACAGATGAGAGGCCTCGGTGTTATTGGTATTATTCTAGTCATTCAGCAGAGTATGGATGACGACCACGGACTATTCTAGACTATCCTGTGGAACACTAGCAGGCTCATTACCTGTAGGTGTTGTGAACGACGTGTTCACCGGTGTACTCTATCCCCCACATGGTTGACTTTAGGATACTTATTGTTGAGGAAGCCCCTCTGCAGTAATGTCCATCCCGATGAAAAATCCTGAAATAGGTTTCTTATAATAGACGTTATTTTTAGGAACGTAAGGTGAGGATAACGGGAATGGGTAATCGGGTTTATTGTTGATTGTTGAAATTAAATATAATTATTGTGGGTTGAAAACCCTATATGCTCACCAGGCTCCCAAGCCTGACCCACTCAGTTGATTTATTTTACAGGAAGTGGCGCAAGAGCTTAAGATGGGCGAACATCAAGTTGTTTTGCTTACAAGTCTGTATATGTATATATTTGTTGAATGACTTGTAATGCTATCGTTTATGCTTTATGATTTGTATCGGAACATGACATCCCGACTTTTGATTATGAAATGAAATCATATTTCTTTATGAAATGTTTTGATAAATATCTATTTTATCATGTTTTGTTTTTGGGAACAAATTCCGCATCTCTTTTAAAATTAAAAGGATTTACTCTGAAAATTATTTTAAAAAGCATAAATGAAATCGGTCTTTTCTGGCCGAGATTTTGGGGATGTCACACAAGCTCACAACCACCACTTTTGCCGTATTTTGTTCCGGAAATGCAACCTTCACCACCACCTCAACGAAAAAAGAAAAAAGGAAAAAAACCGGCCCGACCCACTACCACCCAAGAAAGGGTCCCATGGACAAAAGAAGAAGAAGAAAAGTTAGCGGTGGCATGGGTGGCGGCTTCCGAAGATCCAATTGTAGGAGATACCAGCCTTATGGAAGTTTTTGGGAAAAAGTTTGAGCCATTTTTTACGAGTTAATGGGAAGTGAAACTTGAAATGCCGATCAAATTACGTCGAGATAGAGAGATATTCGACTAAAATGCACCGAGTTTGGAGGAATCTACAACAACTTCCTAAACATACACAAAAGCGGGTCAAACGATTTTGATGTTTTCAAGGCGGGCATGGACCAATTTGAGAAAACAACGCCAACACGCAAAGTTTTTTTCCGTATATGAAACCGTAGCTAAAATTGAAAGACACCCCAAAATGGAAAGAACAAACGGAAGGAAGTTCCCAATCTTCCGGTTCAAAGCGTTTGAGAAACCCCAATGGAACTTCTCAACAATCAGACGGCCGAACACACATCAACATCAACGACGATCCGATAGATCTTGAAAACGACCAACTTCTTCGTCGGCCCATTGGAAGAAATAAAGCAAAAAAGCGGCGTCAACGTCTTCGAATTCTAGTGTTATGGATATGTTTGGCGATAAATTTGATCGATATGTGCAACTTCAAGAAACGAAGGTCGAGGTGATGACTCGGATGGAACAAAAAATGATCGAAGCACAAACATCATTTCAAGAGGCACAAGAGACACTCCAAACAAAAACCGATATGGAAATCTTAAAAATGAAAGCGGACGACCTTGAGGGCGAAGATTTAGAACTTTTCCAAGCAATGAAAGAGTCGGTTCGAGCCCGACGTAGGCGTTGGGGGTAGTTTATTTTATTTATGGTTGGAATTTTTAGTTTTTTTTTAATGTTTTTTTTATTAATTTAATTTAACTAATGTAATTTTTATTTTGATTGTTATTTTATCTTTTTTTTTTTTTTTTATTTCGATTAATGTAGTTTTTATTTAATGAAATTTGATATTTTAATTTAATGGAAAAACTAGTATTAAAAAAATGATTTTAATGTATTTTTGAATTAAATTTAAATAAAAAAATGAGGTGGAATGGTATGTTTAGTGATAAGTATCTCATGTTAGTGGTAGTGGAATGTGATACTGATGTGGCACCCACCACATGTGATATGTAGTGGGTATAACGGATGGTCTAATATAATCCATCATCTAATTTCCCTGAAAAGTTGGTGTTTTCGAAAATTACGCCCCTAAGTTTCATCATTTATACTTGTTCTAGCTTATTACTTTAACTTTTTTTTTTTCACTTTACTCTCACGTATAACCCTTAATCATCTTCAGTTTATTTAAAAATCTAAATAAACACTTCCAATATTAAATCATTTATAGAATAAACCATTTTAATATCAAGCTATATTTTTTCATCTTTAATTGGTTTAATTAATACTATAATATTCTAAAAATAATAATTGAACATTAAAACATCTAACCCAGTGGGTGTTACAATTCTACTCTCCTTAAAAAAATTCGTTCTCAAAATTAGTAAGTCGTTTGACCATCTTATATTTTCCGTAATCATATTATGGCCCAAACACTTAAACGTCACTTCCTACAAGCCAACACAAACTTGACTCCCTAATTTTGTCCTTCTAACCTATTTACAAGAACTTTAATATAATAAACTATATGCCTTATAACAATCATTTTATTTTTAGGATTTTACCTACGATTCAACCAAATCTAAACTTACCTGTGAATACTTCTTTTCGGATTCACCTTAATCTTCATCGTATGTAAACTGCCTAAGTCTATTAGTATCATTTTGTCATTCTATTTAGTCAATTTAGGTGGCGTTTGGTTCACAATTTTTTTTCATGGAATTGAATCCAACAAAAGAATTGGAATCCGAAAGAAAATGAACTAGAATCTGATATGCGTTTGGTTGACCTGAAATGTAATATGTTTTCTATTTCATTTGCTGACATGCCAAAGGAATTTGAAAGGAATTCATGTAACATGACCCAAATACCCTTTTAGTGATTTTCGAAACCTATTGTTTTTTTAATAAACTTAAACTAGTTTTCCTTAATTTTTTTTTATTATGAATATATTATACAAAATTATGAGGTTATTTTGTCTCATCTTCTCCACTATCTCAAAGCATGCTATGTCGATAAAAAAAATATGTCATATAGACAAAAACACAAACACCTAATATGTAAACGTACAAAAAGAAAAAATGCATATCATCAATTAATAAAATCAAACTAAAAATTCCAACATACCTACTAATACATCAGAATAAAAAAAATTCAAAGTAATATTAGCATACTCAAAGAAAAACGATGCATAAAAATAAGGTTAGTTCCTATCTTGTAAATATAAAAATCAAACTACAAACTATACAAAATGAAGGTAAAGAATAAGTAATTGCATAAAGTAGAAGGAATTATCATGCTTAGTTGTCAACAAAGATTATACAGGAACGAAGATGAGGCGGTAGAGCCCTACAATGTCGAACCAGATGTGATGCATTAACACAATTGCAATGATCGAATGATAATCACATCTAATATATAATATCCGTTTTTTCTTATGCATCATACTCATATATTGGTCAAGTCTTGGACCTCTTTTTTAGGGTGTTGCTAAATTGACACCCCTTAAACACTCTATGAACACTTTTGTTAAAAATCAACCAAAACTAAACTATTTATAATTTACTTTTTGGAAAAACAATGTAAATTCAACCAATAAAAAAAATCTTAAAAATAAAATAGGTTGTTTAAATGGAAAAATAGAGTGTTTATTTAGCCAACCCCTTTTTTTATTCTTAACCCCTACTTTTTTACCCTACATCAATTTCATCGTCTACATATCATGTGTATCATTAATTTAATATGCTATCACATCAAGTTATCTTGTTTTATTTTCATATAATACACATTATTAATTCACCACTCTCCCCTCGATACTAGAAAAATAATGCAATAGCTACAACACAATATGTAGTTATTCCGTAGCTATAAGTGGATACCTATAGAATTGCTACGGAAAAAAATTGTAGTATAATGACCTGTGGCTAAATTATGTCTACGGATTAGTTACAGAATTGCTACGTAATAGCTACGGAGTTTTTTGTAGCTATCATACCTACGGAATAACCACAAAAATAAATAGTTATGGATTTCATATGAATTACCAATGAGAGTCATGTTTGACTAAAATTGATTTTTTTCCTACGGAATAGCTACTAAATTAATTGCTACGGAAATAAAACAGTTACGGAATAACTACAGAAATAAATAGTTATAGAATAGCTAAGTAAGCAAATAGTTACGGATTACCAATGGGAGTCATGTTTGACAAAAATTGACTTTTTACCTATGGACCTATTTAGCGATGGAAAGTCGTAGCTATTACATCGCTAATTTTGTCTTATTTAAAAATAAAAGTTTAAAATTTTAAAAATTTCCAATTTTTTTGTCAAATACCATATTCAGTTCACATTTGTCTCAAATACCATATAAAATACATCAAAGAATGTCCCTAATACCAATTTTGACATATTTCATTCCATTGTCCAAAATATCATACAAAAGTAAGCACTAACAAAACAAACAAACAATACTAGGTCTTTACAAATTCAATTGTTCCAAAACACTTATCAATTGTCCTCAGGTTGTTTATTAGGGGGAGCATGGGGTTGATTTGCAGACATATTTATCATCCTCATAGCCATTTGCATTTGTTCTTTCATTTGTGTTGTTGTTGTTCCATGATAGAAACTTGTGCACGTAACCTATGAACCTAAAGAAATGGTAACACAATTCAATACTTAAACAATATAGCAATGTACTTTAGTTTATTATAACAATACATGTTTGCCTATAATACTTATAGCAATATACTTAACTTTTAACCGTAATAGCAACTTGCTTTTGTTTATTATCAATTAAATCAATATTATCAACAAACTACCTAACGTTTAACCATAATAGCAACGTACTTTTGTTTATTATAAATTTAATCAATATTATCAACAAAATACCTAGCTTTTAACCATAATAGCAACGTAATTTTGTTTATTAGCAATTTAATCAATGTTATCAACAAACTACCTAACTTTTAACCATTATAGCAACAGAATTTTCTTTATTATCAATTTAATCAATATTATCAACAATCTACCTAACTTTTAAACATAATAGCAACGTACGTTTGTTTATTATCAATTTAATCAATATTATCAACAAACTACCTAACTTTTAACTATAATAGTAACACACTTTTGTTTATTATCAACTTTATCAATATTATCAACATACTACTTAACTTTTAAACCATAACAACATACCTATTGTTGTGTACTGTCCGATTGGGTGGATCGGGAAGATGGTGTCCTAGAAACCAAAAAATGTATATCTGATGCTCATATTCCATAGATATCACCCTTCTTCTTTCCTTTTCTCCTAAGTTGGGTTTCCTCCCATACCCTTGCATCATCTTTATGGTTTGAAAGATCTTCTCCGTATTTTTTGACCAACCCCAGTAGATACGCCTCCTACAAATTACCAAAACAGTACCATTGTCATATAAACAAAATACTGAGATAATTAATATACATAAATGATAAAAGATAAGTTACTTGTGATTCTTTGGCAGCTTATGAGCAATATTTGAGATTTTCATGATCTCCTACAAAATATATTTTTTTCAACTCAGTTGTGCCATGCGTCTTCATGAAAACATCATATTGTGTGGGTGGTTTACCCATCAATTTTTCCTACATAAAATACAAAATATAATTGATGTAGTTAGTGTTAAAAATAAGATAACAAAATTTATGATTATTATACTTACTAAGTTGTTATAGTGCTCGTCAAATCCTGTACTAACCACAACGTGTCATGCTGTCGACCCATTAGCATCTGCGATCGGGTGGTTCTACAGAGCAATTGTTGAATTCTTTCTCCACTTATCTGTGGACCAATGCTGTGAAAGAAAAAGAAATATAAGTATAATAATACAATGGGAAATTAAAAGTCAACAAAATAGATAATAACATATCGTATCCATTATATCACACAAACGTAGCCACACATTCTCTGGTATGCGCTCGGGGCGGTAGTTATGTATCCCTTCGAAGTAGGTACTATGATATTGGGAGATGGATTTCCCATCATTTCATGCCATGTCGCCAGATATAATCCTGATACGCTTCATCCGGTCACTGTATCTATCCTTGAGTACACACTTAAAGGCATCAAATATGTTTACGTTTGTCACACTGTAACATCCCAATTTTAGAGACCAAATTTTGTTTTTAAATTATGTTACTTATAAAGCAATTTACTGAAAAACATCATCGATATCATATCAATCCACAAAACCATAATCAGATGTCTCAAAAATCATATCATCAATAGTAAAAATATAAGAGTACAATCCCAAGAATCTCTTATGCGGAAATTTGGTGTGTATATGTGTGTCTGTGTGTGTGTGATACACTACTACCGCACTGGCTCCTTCCCCTTCGATGAAGAGGTACCGAAAAACAAAATTGGATACTGTAAGCACAAACCCTAGTAAGTTCCCCCATGATACCACATACCATATATAGCACATACTGCCATCCATATCTGGGTGCCCGAGCTACCCTATTGAGCATACCGGGGTGCTTAACCTACCCCTGCTAGGCATACCGGTGTGCGTAACCTAACATAATCATTATGTCAGGCATACCGAGGTGCTTGACCTACCCATTGGTCCTTACGATCATGATACGGGGATTATTCCCCTTACTGCTACAAACACTTATCATCATATCAGGCTAGCACATAAAACATATTAGGTAGCAGCAAACCTAGATGACTATCAGAAAGACAGTGATCTAACATACAACTCATACTAGTGGGCCAACATTATGGTCGTAGATCGACCGCTACTGAAGGTAACTCACCTCAATGGTATAAAGTGTTTGGATTGTCCTTGCTGCCGGAATCAATTGCTCTCAGATCTTACACACAACAATCTTCCTTAATTACCATTTCATGGTCAACTCAGGTCAAAGTCAAAGTCAATGTCAACACGTTGTCAAAGTCAACTCTATGTCAAATTCAACATCCATTTGACTCAAGTCGCCGAGTTGGCCTTACAACTCGTCGAGTTCCGAAATCATGAGAATTCTAAAACTTCAAACCTACTTGCCGATCCTTACAAGAGCTCGTCGAATTCTCCTTTAAACAAAGTCGGGACCTTCTACAACCGACTCACCAAGTTTATCCTTGAACTCATTGAGTTCATCTTCATCCGAGTTAAGGTGTTTGGTCCTTGACTCGCCGAGGTCATCCTTGAACTCATCGAGTCCATCTTCATCAGAGTTAGGGTGTTTAGTCCTTGACTCGTCGATTTCATCCTTGAACTCATCGAGTTCATCTTCATATGGTTAGGATATTGCCTTGAACTTGCCGACTTCATCCTTGAACTCATCGAGTTCCTTGATCTTTAAGCCCCTATTCCCATCCATCTTGATGAGTCCTTTTCTAGACTCAACCAGATCGATCAGAAGCCAAAAAGGTTGGGGAACCATACCTTGACTCGCCGAGTCCCCCAAAGTTAATGTCTATACAGTTGATTTCAGTCAAGTTCAATGCATCCAAAACATAGATCTGACCTCCTAGGGTCCATATTACACGTAAAGTTACGAACATTACGTGCATGCATGGGGTATTTAACTCAAAATGCACTAAAAAGGGGTTTCTAGGATGCATGGGGCTCCCATGGCTATAAAGTTGGCACCTTTATGCCATGGAGTCTGTGACAACCCGAAATTTCCATTATGTACAAACTTTATAAGGTCAATAGAAGTTATAACAGTCACTAGTAAATTTTCAGACTTTTCTGTATAAGTTTGAGTATTTCGGGATTTACACTTAAGGAGATATCAGGAGAGTGGATGTACTAGGGTTTTGTGCAACATTATTATTCCAAAACTCTATTACATTAGAGTTCATTACGGGAATAAAAATATTTTCTGCCAAAAATCCCATGACTATAACATGTTTAATAACCTCGATTACATAGCAAAACTACAAGATCCGGGAGTTTACCGACCAAGAACATCTTGGGGAGTAAACTCCTATATGAGGCTTATATGATGCCTAGTCCCTTCCACATGTTAAATAACGACCTTAGGCTTGTATGTAAGTGTACTTAAGACAAGAAAACATCAAAGAAACACCCAAGTTTAGGTGTTCACGGCCCAAGGAGTTCTTGGACCGTGAAGTCCACAAACAAGGACCAAAGGGGGTTTTTAACACCCTAAAGCTTTGGACAACTACCTAGGTTTACTCCTACAAAAATTAAGGACTTAAACACATCCAAAAACTCCTCTTTTGAGAGTTTACAACCCTATGATTGTGCTTGGGCTGTGAACATCAAATTAAGGCACCAAAGTGTGCCTAAGGCCTTCGTTTGCTTTAGGTAAAAGTCTAGAACCTATCCTACATGTGTATGAGATTTGAAAGCATCAAAAACAACCTTCCATAAGAGTTTACGGTAGTAAACTCAAAGGGATTTGGCCTTTGGGCCGTAAACTCCTCAATGGAGTGTATCTATGCCCTAAACACTTCCAAGAATTAATCCACCAAGTTGGAATACTTCTAGGGATCATTTAGAACTTCAAAACACCAAATGTCACCAAGCTTGAGAGTTCACGTCTGTAAACTCAAGGGATTACAACCGTGAACTCCTTGTGTGATGGCTATGGAAGAGTAAACTCAAGTATAGGGTCCTTTGGAACCCTAAACCCAAGTGCCTTGTCCCACAATAGCTTAGATGCAATCCTTAGGGCTTATAACACTTATGTAAAGTGTTTATGATGTTCTAGGATATATTAACATTATAAATTAGTAGTTTAATACTAATTGGATACATATATGTGGTATTATATGTTAACTAGGGTTATAAAGTGTGTTCAAGACTTAACCAATGTTTTAAATGTTTTTAAATGCTTTATGGGGGGGGGGGGGGGGGATACAAGTTAAATACTTATAGTTATTACATCAATCACATGTGATTAATAACTACAAAACTAGTGATTTCTTACAGTTTAAATTGTTTATCAAACCGTATTGCTTCAAACTGTTTTACAAACTCTTTTAATTATCAAATACTTTTACTTAAACTCTTTAATACTTTTTATCAATTGCATGTCTATGTATGTATACTTATATAATAAATGCTTAAAAGGCTTAGGAAGGCCTGCCCGCCCTATTTCCTTTTCGCGCTTGAGATGTGGTCAGGTGGGATATCGGGTATCCGTCCGAAGGTCATTTAAATATTAATTATATATCATGTGTACATATGTAGTCATAAAGGTCCTTCTAGTTCATTTAGTACCCTTGGGTAGCAAGGGTATACTTCCAAGTTCATACGTATAAGTTACATCATTAGTAAGTTACCATAGGGGTAGCACAGGAGAATACTAATACTATAACTAGAACACAGAAACATACAATGAGTCAGTTCGAGTAGTACACACAGTACATTACTATACATGCTAGATTGAGAGAACGTACATTACAGCTAGCACACGCAAAACATTTCAGTACACACAGGCTAGATAGAGGAAGATTACACTTTCAATTAGCACATTTATTACATATACGTTTATGCAGTTATGTGAACCATTGAGAGGGTCATGGCACTTCCTGCCACGACCGTTCTTGTATCCCGAATCTCCTTAATTGGAGAGTGTATGAGTTTGCGTATAGATCTATACTGGATTGACTATCCTACACCTTGTTGCTCGCTACAGTGGGACTTGCACGTCTACGGGTGCCTAATGTTATTTCTTACGGCGTCTTACATCGTCGTTTTACTAGAGTCGGTAGTAGGATACAGATCGATCACATGTTATTTGAAAACACCTTTTTGTATTAAGGTAGTTAGTACCACGGTAGTCATTTATTACAAATACTACGGTACGATAATATTTTCCCATTACATTCCCTTCGTGAATATTCACACGATGCACGGTAATGTAGTAACTATAATTTTTGGTTAATGATAGTCAGAATTTAGGAAACACACACTCTAACAAGAGACATATACACGAACACAAGATGCCTTTGTAGAAGGCTACAATTAGTAGAAAACGTAGGGTTTTCTAGGAGAGTTCAAACATTATACAAAACATTGTATAAAACATTTTACAGAAACAACTTTCAAACGTTTTCATACAAACTCATACATTAATATAGTTATGATCTCACCAGCATTAAGCTGATACTCGCTTTCAAAATAACTTGTATTCTCATGTCACCACTAGACAGGTACAGGTGCCAGGCTTTTGAGAAGATGGAGTTCGTTCAAGACTTCTTTTATTTTGATATGTATATTTTTGGTGTCTATAACTTTAACAGAACATACATGTATGAAATTATAATATTAATGCAATGGATGATGTTGTCGCTTGTTTACTATTATTCATTGTTGTGATACTGTACATGACGTCCTCCGCCCCAGAATGTTTCATCCATTCATGGTTTTGGGGTGTGACAAATTGGTATCAGAGCATTGTTTATAGTGAATTGAGTATATCAACCCATAAAAGATATACTAACTGTAAATACATTGGGATTAAAATACTCTGACAAAGAGTTTATACTTTAAATACTAAAATATTTAATTAAGTATACAAGTCTGCATTCATACTAAAATCAGTGTCACTAGGACAGTACAAAAGAATTACGATTGTTGAACAACACAGGTGGACTTAGAGACATATAGTCAAAACTGGGAAGATATAGCCTGATCAACTATATTATCCGGGAGTTGACTAGCATGTGCCTAAGTGTAGTTGTGTGGTTGCAACAAGTCTAAAATCTTACCAACAACCCTACAAGGAGAACACTAGAACATAACATTAAACTTAAAATACTATAGGAATATTTTAAATTACTATTAGTTACTTATGTGCTAGATTCTTATACCTCCCTTCTCGCGTAGATTTAATGGCTGGATTCCACATTCCCGGAGACTCGTACTTTCCACCCAATGGAAATGCTGGATGGCTTGAGGCAGAGTCTGATGATGAGCATCAAATCCCTTTGGATGATCATCAAGCAGAAGGCTTCTAGGATGGATCTGACTCTGATCCCGAAGTTAATAACCTACCTCA